TCGTTATATTAAAATTTGTTGTAGAAAGAGTTGACTGTATGCTGATATTTGTCAGTACAGTCAACTCTTGTTATAACGAACTCTATGTCCTAGACCTCAACTTTGCTATAAGGATATAGTGAAGAGTTTAAGAGATTTGATTGGCTAATTCGCTATAACAAGAGTATTTTTATTATATTTGTTCAAAAAATTTGTTATATCAAGAGTTCGCTATATCAAGAGTTAACTGTATATTCAAACCTTTATTACTTGTACCTATTGAATCTAAATAATATGCAAAATTAATAAAGCAATTAATTTTCGTATTGTTTAATGAAACAAGAAGGTAACAAATTAATACCATTAATTTTTTTATACAATCTATCATTTGCTTATTACGTTTAAATAACTGAGCTGCTAAATATAATTAATTAAAAAAAACCTTTAAGCTCAGGTCAATTTCTTGAAATAATCTTTAAATTTCATCAAATATATATATAAAACCTTTTTCTTTTACATGTTCTCTCTTATAAAGGATTTTTATCATCACTTTGATAGCTTTAATAAAATCAACCTTTATACCTTTCATGTTTGCAGTATTTTTATCTATGGCTTCTTCTTCTATAATTTTTACTCTCTTAGGATCTTTTTTAAGGGATTTTTTACAAAACGCATATAATAAACATTACATAAAAATACTTTTTCTTCATATTACCTTCACTAAATCATTGTTTTTAGTTTCTTTCTATTTTTTTCCCTTCAATGAGTAAAATTTAATCGAGTTAGTAGTTTGGCATTCTGTGTATCATTTTGTTTTAAACATATCTTTAAAGATGGATAGTAACATAAAGGTGTGAGATTAACAGGAATTAAAAAAATATGTAATAGTATAGTACGAAAACTTCAAGTTATCTTAATTGATTTGTTCACATTTCATTGTACAGATCGGTAACTTTAGTCTCATGAAAATGCATTATAAATTGTATAAAAAAATTTAATAAATTGTATAATAGTACTCCCTTATATAGAAAGGCCTCCCTTGGAATTTATTATATAAAATAAGTAATAAATTATATAATATATTTTAAAAAATTTACTAAATATAAGAAATAATGTATATTAAAGATTATTTAAAAAAATTATATTAGTAATTTTTATAAAAGAATACTTTTTAAAATATAAAGTTACTTATTTATACTTATTTTAGATTTAAAAAATATCTAAACTTTTAGTTTTACTATTTTTATTTATTAAGGTTTTAATATATTGCTATTTTTATTAAATTTTAATATAGTTTTATTTTTTTTTAAAATTTTACAAATTTTTTAGTAAAATATAATAATATAATTTTGCTAAATATTACCTTTTATTATTTAAATACTTTGCAAAACTTTTAAGTTTTATCTAATAACTTTAGTAAAATATAAAATAAATTTAATAATATAATGTAATTAATTTTACTTTAAATAATAATATAATAAATAATATTTATTTATTTAAATTTTATTGTAGCTATATTAAAGTAATATATAAGATTATAATATTAATATTATACTTATATTATATTTATACTATATTTTATATGTATTAATTATTTATCACAAATTAAAGATATTATTAAGTATCATAACATAGCAATAACCCTAATGATAAGTAGTAAATATCTATAATATTTCTTAATTACTAATGCTTATGATAAAAAGGTTATATAAATTATGTAAATCATATATTATTATGATGTAAAAATATTGTTTTTTATATCATAAATAATTTTTTTTACAATTTTTTTTAAAATTTTTAATTTTATTTCTTAAATATGATATCAAAGAAAACTGTAAAATTCAATATTATTTATAAACTTTATATAATCTATGTTTATAACCTAAATATATAAAAATACTGATATTGAAAAAATAATTATATTTATTAAAATAAGTCATAAATTCAATATATAGAATAAGTAACAAAAAACTGACTTAAATTCTTTGAAAAAATTTCAAAAAAATTTTATCTATAAGATAATCAATATAAGATTTATTGAATTTTATTTCAGATATAACTATATTAGAAAATCAAATAGTAGGTTTTATTATTAATATGAAAAAAAGATAAAACTGAATATAGATTATTATCAATAAGTCAAGCTATTGATGGGATTAAATAGAATTTTAACTATTTATAAAATCAATTTATGTAATTATCATCAATTTTTTATTTTAACAAAAATTCTTGATAGTAAAATGAATTACAAAATAAAAAACTTGAAAAAATAAAAGGATCTGTTGCTTTAACCCAATAAAATATTACAGATATTTTATCAAATCCAGTAACAATAATATTAACTCCTAATATATTTATTAAAGAATATTTTTTCATAATAAATACTCTTCTTTTAATTTGAAAGGTAGTAAATATTATTAGTTAACAATTGATTAATTTAATTTTTGAGATAATAGTGAGATTGATTTTTAAAGATTTTATGTAAAAAATAATCAAAGAAGAATAACAGGAGACACAATATAAAGATTCCAATTTCAACTAATTTATTTAATTCTAAAGAACTATGCAATGATTATCAGTTATATTTTAAAAAAAAGACTATTAGATGCTGATTTAAATTTTTATTACAAATAGATTCAAAATGTAAGTTAATTATATTTTATTATATATCAATTTTATAAAGTTTATAAACTTTTAATTTATTAGGGTATTATAAGTAACATATTGGCAAGAATTCACTATCTAAATTTATGAAAAATCTTGTTTATGAAATTGGCATTAAAATTGATAGCTTATTAACTAATCATTTTGGATGAAAACATCAGCACAACTAATGTAAGATGTAAATGTAAAAGAACAAATTATCAAAGTGTTAATGCAATACAAAAATATAAAGTATCAAATGATCAACAAAAATGAATATCTTGCAACAAATTTATTTCTACTAATAATATAAAGGACTAAAAATTTCAAAATTAAGTTCAAAATATTAATCAAGAAATTTATGAGCCTGCATAACAAATTCAAGATTACAATAAGAAACTATTACAAACTTGAATCGCAAGATTTACCAATTAATATATCTTTCAATAATGGTAATAAAGAAAAGTTTTGATATTTTAATAATTGTCACTTTCAAAATGTTAATTTTATTTTAAATAATTTATATTTATAATTATAAATGCTTGTAATAAAGTAATATTTTAAAAAATGCTTTTTTCTATAGCAAGCTTATTAAATAAAATATATTAAATATTTTGCGGTACGATTTTCATTTTATGTTATACCCCAAATGCGTTAAGACTTTGAATGCGTCCCAAATCGGAATGTGCAATTGGGATATCCTAAATGCAAAGATCATTTGGAATATTTGCTTGCCCCAAATGATCATTTCGGATAATGCTTCAAATGCGCATTTTCGGGTATGTCCCAAGTGCAAATTTCGGATATCTCAAACGCCAATTTAAAGTTTGTTTACATTTTTATTTACAATTTAAATAAAAATAAAGCTTTATAAATATAAATATTAAATATAAATAATTTAAATTTTGCCATTAATTTATTTTAAATAAAATATAAAATACAGGATTGTAATTTAATAAACTCAAATCATTAGTCGTCATTTAGGACAATCCGAAATGAGTCCCAAATGCTCATTTGGGATATCCGAAAAGTGCATTTAGGGCAAGCGAATATCCCAAACGATCTTCGCATTTATGAAACCTCATTGCACATTCCGATTCGCATTTTTGGGGTACAACAGATATATCACGGTAATTGCGTCATGTTGATATTTTCACGGAAAATTCAACTCCGATAGTGAATTCCGATAAAATATCAATATGAAACATCACGGGCGAACAACTAGTAAGCGGGTAATATTAGCGTTAGTTATTATAATATACTAATTTTATACTAAAATTATTTGATACTAAAGTTTTCAATATTAACGTTGAATTATTAGTAGACAATTAATTAATTAGTAAAATATTATATAGTAGGTAAAGTTCAATGTTTTTTTAGTATATTTATCTGGCAAAGTAGTAAAATTAAAGTATGTTAATTTGAATGGATACTGTTGACTTTAACTCCATACTTCAAAATACAAAGTGGAATTTTTCTTTAAACAAGCACGGTTTAGCATCAATTAATTGTTTGTTTGTTTGTTTGTTTTTATCCCAAGCATTTTGTACTTTGGGAAAGAATTTTGTACTTTACTTAATGTCCAAGGAAAAAAAAACCGTTTTGTACCTCCGCATCAGGAGTTTTACGATTTAATGTTTAATATTTTGTACTTCTGACCTTGATAGTGTTCTCTAAAAAGAAAAAAAGTCGTACATAATATAGGTATATAGATCCAGCGGGTTTTCCGTTGCATCATTCCCAAAAACAGAAAATTTTGATTGTATCGGTCCAAACCAAAAATGTCGGCAATATACGAAATTTAGATTGAGGCTTGCAAATTTAAACTTCTAAATCTAGCGCAAGATATACGTTGATTGATGTTTCATTTAACTTAATTGATTTATCAAAATGAAAAAAGTAGCGCACATGGTTTTCAAAATGGAAGACTTCTGGTGATCATAATCAAAAAGTTTTTTTTTTGGAATAATAAAAAGAATTAAAACAATACTAAATTCGGCAAACACTTAATTTTACAAAGATAAGAATAAAGTAAAAACAAACAAATTCAAATCATGTGTAAGATGTTATTAATATCGTACATGTTTATTTATATTATAAAAGTTATTTGTACAACCGCGCACACCAATATTTTACAAAAAAAAAACTCATCATGTTGTGTTTTCGTCTAATAATGTCAATTAAAACAGTGAATGGTCATGAAAATCCGATACTTTGTTTAACAAAATTGAAAATGAGTTCCAATTCTTATAAAGAAAATTTTCATTTAATTTCTTTTCTTTTCTTTTTTTTTTTTTTTTTTTTTAAAAAAAATAAATCTTTGGATTTTTTTAAAAAAAAATTTCATAATCTTTTAATCTTTAATAAATAATTTAAACATGTCGGCATTTCAAAAATCCCATTCCTATTTAATTAGCGACGAAGAGAAAGCGGAATCCGGATCGATCTCTTCCTTTGGCTCAAAAAGTTCCATCAAGAGAAGCTCGTATAATGGTTATCAATACATTGCTATAAGTCCGGATGGCACTCAGATAGTAACATTGAATACCTCGACTCATCAATTAAAATTATGTAAACATGATAATTTATCAAAATTTTACACCATAAATTATGATGAATTTAAGAGTTACGATAAGCCCTTGACAAAAATAAATTGGAGTTTAACGGTATCTAATGCATTCACCTTGGCCGATGGAACTGAAGACGTGTTGATTGTTGTATCTTGTTTTGATGATGATGATATGAAATGTAATCAAATTCCAGATGATGAAGTTGAAACCGTTTACATGTATGATGATATGAATAAACGTGTTGAAACGTCCACGTGGATCATTTCTTGTACACAACATTCAAGAGTCTCCTCTTCAATTAATAAGATGGGCGGTATAGTTAAATTCTTGGATATCAAAGATGATAACATATCCCATTTGGTTCTTATTAATGCCCTTGGCATAACTAAATTCTCCATAGAGCATGAGACAATCAGAGAAATCATTTATAACGGGGGTGGGTTGCATGATGATGGCTGGTCCAATCACTTTTTCTCTAATAAATCAATTCAAGAATTTCATCTTCCACCAAAATTCTTTTTGGAAATGCAAAGGTTACCGAATGATCAGACTTGCACTCACTATATTCTGCAAAGTTTGATTAAGGATCGTTTTGTTGTAGAAACTTATAAGAACAAAGTACAAACTGTTGAAATGTATAATTTGGAAACTAATTCATTAGAAAATACTTTTCAAAAGCGAGAAGAATCTGCTGCTTCGGTCATCGGAAAGGGTTCTCCTTGCTTCGCCATCTCGAAAAACGAAGTTCTATTTGCTTATTGTCGTGGTACAAATAGCATCACCATCTATCTAATGGAAAATGGTTTGGAGGTTACCACAAAGAAATTTAAAGAGAAGAATTTTCGTCGAATAATCTTTTTTGATTTCGTTCAAGATGATAATCAACTATTGCTTGTTATTGAAGAAGAAAGGTTTAATGAAGATGATATTACACAAGTTTTTGTGGTTTGGGATCTATTTAGCAGCTCGGATTATTGTGTCAGAAAAATCGATGACACATCGCCACTCTTTCCCGAAAAACGTGAAAATTTCGCCAACGCTTCTGGGAATCTTTTTACCGTCACTGAACGAGGTGATATCATTTCGATATTAAAAGAGTCGGAAATAGTTAGGTTATTGAATCCCGTAAATGATTTTATGGGTAAGACAATTTCTCTAGAAAAATTTCATGCTGCTTCCTCCTTATCAACGGATTATCATTATGTTTATGATTCCGGTGGAAACCTTTTGGACTTCAATTCTGAATATAGTAAAATTATTATTTATAATTCTGAACCTTGGGTACATGATAACCGTTACAAGCGTATCTCAGCTTATCTTGATGATAAGAAATCCATTCAATTAATCATTGGAAAATCAACCGTTCAAGTATGGCGTAAAAGAAGGGGAGGGACCGCTGGGTCTTCACCTACGAGAATTCTTGAATTTATTTGGGCTCATTCTGAAACAGATAATCAAAATAAAATGGAAATTCAATCTCTGGCAATTGGTAACAAGGAATTCTCTTTAACGTTACGTATCCCTTCCGGAATTTCTCCCAATCCTGAACCAATTAAACTCGAATGGCCCGAAAAGGTTAATTATCCCAAAGCCGCATGCCAAGCATTAGAATTCCTTGATAAGATAAAGAATGAACCTTCGGGTCCAAAAAGACAACATCAATTTGAAAATTTGGTTCAGCAAACCGAATATATTATCAATAAATGTTTAATTAAAAAATGCGGTTTATGGAGGATGTTGGATATTCGATTTGATATTATGGCCAACCTTATTCGTGGTAATCGCGTAACGATGATCAAAAATATTTTATCTCTTGAATCGCATGATGGGAAGTACAGTAAACATTTGCATACCCCAAGGATAAAGTCTTGGAATGGAACTGACAAAGAATTCACTGATTTAGAGATCGCTATCGAATGCACAAAAGGAGGTTATCGTAAAGATACGGTTATAGTTAAATATTTATTGGATTATTATTCTGATAATGCAGCAAAAACTTCAAATTGGATGTTTACAGTTACCAAAGCAATCCCTTTCCTCTATAAATATCAATTAGAATTTTATGTTAAAGAATTATTTCAAAAACCTTGTTTTGGTGCTAATGAAGTTTACTTGGAAAAATCTAGTATTCGTAATTCGGACATGACCAAGAGCAGCTACAAGAATATCCACGCATTAAATGTAGATTTGAGCCTTGTAAAGAGGGAAAAGAATAATTTTTTACAAAGAATAATTTCTCAAGGAAAGCAAAGGTAAGATTAATTGCAATTAGTATGAAAGGTTAAACGCTGTAATAATGAAATGAACTTTTTTTTTTATTTTTATTTTATTTTTATTTATTTTATTAGTGGAAAGGAGACAATTTCAAATTTAGTGAACAAGGAATTCAAAACTCCTTCCCTTATTAATCAAGTTTACATGGTACCACTTCCGGATTTCACCGTATATCCTGAAGGAATTGATGATAAACGAGAAGAATATTGGAAGATTCCCTTCAAACTCTTACGATTATTAATTTGGCCACGCGGTCATATAATCAAAAAAGAAGAAAAGTTGAGCCCATTCTTGAGAATGATAAGGAATGACAATAGCGCAGCAATTTATGACAATCCATCAATAGCCGCGGTAATTGATTTCAAATGGAACGCCGCAAGAAAATATTTTTTAAGACATGTGGTTGTTTACTTTGTATTTGCATTAACATATGCTCTATTAACGAGTGCGATTAAAGGTTCCAACAGGGTTATAGCAAAAGTAGAAGCTTATTTAGACGTATATCTTATTATAGCAAATGTATTTTTTTATTGGTTGGGATTTTATATATTGAATACTGAAAGGGTTCAATTAAAATATGATGGATGGAAAAGATATTTCAGTGTTTATAATTTCTTTGACTTGTTTTCAGTCATATTGCCATTAATAACGGCCACCATACAAATTTTTGAGTTGGAACAAAGCCCACAGGACTTTCGAAAATTCACCATACTTAATTCGTTCACAATTTTAACAATGTGGATGGAACTTTTTTTGGTGAGCTTTTTTTTTTTTGAATTTGTTTTTTCATCACTATTGGAGATGTTACTTCACGTGATTATTAACATTCAAAATTTTATCAAATACATAGTTGTTACGGTACTTTGAAAAGGCTGGAGCTTACATTTTTATTATTGTCAAAATCTTGCAAGAAATAACATCCTTTTTGACCTTTATTCTATTGGTCGTCCTCGGATTTGGACATGCCATGTAAGCAGGCTCAAGTTCATTCATTCTTGTTTTGTTTAATTATTATTTCACTTATTTATAGATTGTTTGTTTGATAGGTTTGTTTTGCTAAATAACACATCAGACATGAACCTTAATGCGGAAGGCACTTCTTTCAAAATCTATGGTAACGATGGAAATCCTGTACCAGAGTTCTCTCAATATGTAATAAACCAGGAGATTGATGTGAATAAACCGTCAGATAATTATTACACGAATTTTGTCAAATCTATAGAAGCGGTTTTCTTTTGGACAAGTGGACGTTGGGATCAATTGGATCAATGGGATTTCTGGCCAGTAGATGTCTATTCTATGATTGCTAGCATCCTTCTCGTTACGATTTTGCAAAACATGCTGATTGCAATCATGACGTAAGCATTTACATTAATATGGAAAATTTCATTTTTCATCTTGTATCATTAAACCAACCTACTTTTTTTTTTTTTATTGTCCAGTGGCGCTTATGAAGAAGCAAAAGAAGTCGGTAGGCATGCCGTATTAAAATATCGAGCAGAATTGATCGCAGATTATGAAACAATTGATAAACCACTGGGAAATAGGAAAGGGAACCCTCGATATATTTATTTCATTGGAAAATCCGATTATATTGAAGAATGGTTAGAAAAAGCCGAGAAAGCTAGGGAAAGTCATAAGAATTTCTTGGCCGAAATTGACAACAGTAATTCATGGTATTATGATGATGACGAAGATGACGAAGAAACAATGTATTATTGTCATACACCTCGTACCCCACAAGACCTTTCTTATGGATACTCCATCTCAAGTGGTGCTTCAAGTGTTGATTCGATTTCTATCAATTCGCAAAGAACGGAACGACAAGTTCCATTGTCTATAAATTGGTTTGTTGATGAAGATGAAAGAGTTAAGGATAAATCATCAAATGACCATAATCATAAAAGTAAAGAGGAAGTTAAAACGTTGCAAGATAAAGTTCAGTCAATGGAACAAGATATTAAATATTTAATAACTTTAATACAAAATCAAAAATAGCAACTGGTTTAATTTAATTTTATCTAATCACACCCTCTATAGTTTATAGTTTGTAATATACATTTTTTTTTTTTTTTTTTTTTTGACCGTTAGTCTATTATTTACTACTATTAAAACTTTTTTTTTTTTTTTAGAAATTAAAAAAAAGAAATAGGTTGATAATATTTTTTATGATGTTTGTTGTGCTATATTAATTTAATTTCATCTTTCAAAAAATTAAAACCGAATTCAACCGAATTCGTAAATAGAAATATTCTATTGTGAATTAAAAAAAAATAATAATAACGAATTTTAATATAATCAATCTCTCATGTTTATTATAATAAACTTTGTTAATTCCTGAACGAGTAAAATATTTTTCTTTGAATTATCAAATTTTTTTTTTTTTTTTTTTCGAATAACTTAATTATTTATTTATTATTTTAAAAACAAATAAATAAAAAAAAAAATTTTTTTTTATGACCAACTTGTAACCGGACCACGTGACGGACAGGTTCTATTAAAAATTTTTTTCCTAATATAATAAAAAATTTTAGTATTTCTACTAAATAGAGGAGAGAGAGAACACGAGCACCCGAAGCCAAATTACAATAAATTTATGCTAGGCTTTGCAAAAAAAAGTCGCTTGGTAATTATTAATTCTTTCTTTTTTGTTAGACTAGAAGAACGTGCTGTGTAATTTCATGCATTTTACTAAAAAACCTGTTTAATCTGGAGTTGTAATAGATAATTTTTTTTTACTAAAAATAGCGAGTAGTAAAATATTTAACCACTTCTGCAGAATGATCTCGTGTTAGTGAGAAATTAATGTAGACAGTCTATATAAATTTTGATTGCAAAAGAGAAAGAAAATAAGTGGGATAAAAATTCTTTTAACTGTACCATTTTTTTCTGATTTATTTATTCTATCTTTCG